TCTGTCATTTTCCTACATAGAGGAAATGTAGTTGAAAAAATGAGATGATTCTGTGCTGGGCTCAGCTGTCCACAGTTGTGGACATGTAACTAGCTTTTTTCTTAGTATATTAATTCTGAAAATATCCTGGAAGTAGATTCTGCACATTTCTTTATGAAAACATGGAAAATACCATTAAAGACACACTTGACCTTTAATCCTATCTACTTGGGAGGCTGAGACAGGAGAATTACAAATTTGAGGCCAGCCTTGGCAATTTAGTGAGACCCTGTCTCAAAGTAAATAATGAAAAAGGCTAGAGATGTAGTTCAGTGGTAAAGTGACACTGGGTTAAATCCTTAGTACCAGGGCTAGAGTGGTGGCTCAGTGGTAGAGTGCACGCCTGGCATGCATGAGGCACTGGGTTCAATCCTCGGCACCACATAAAAACAAAACTAATGTATCCACCTAAAACTAAAAGATAAATAAATAAATATTTAAAAAAAAAAAAATCCTTAGTACCTAGGGGAGATTGACTGGTGACAAGGATTCAACTCTACTTAGTAGAGTATCATATACCTATAAACCTAGCTACTTGGGAGGGTGAGGTAGGAGGATTGCTTGAATACAGGAGTTTGAGATCATTCTGGGCAACATAACAAGACTCTCTCTTAAAAAACAAAAGAATCAACTCTTCACCTGTAAAATTTTGTGGCCTTAGACAAGTCAATTAACCTCTGTGACCTCAGTTTCCTCATCTGAAGTGGATATACCAGTGTCATATGAGGCTGTTGTGAAGACTGGGAAACAATCTGTTTACTGGGAGTGAGGTAATATGAGTTAATTTGGGGGAGAAGCAGGGCACGGCCCTGGGACCCTAGAAAGACTCCTATATTTACATACTCCATTTGTTAGTTATCTGTACTACCAGTGCTGGGAGAAGTTGAAGTTTCCCTGAACTAGATAGTCACACCTGGTGAGAAGTTTCTGAGATGGGAAGAGCACCTCCTCAGCAAAATAATGGGATTAAAAAAAAAAAAAAAAAAGAAATCACTGTCTGACTGGGGATGTAGCTTAATGGTAGAAGACTTGAATTCCATCCCCAGCACCAAAAAAAAAAAAAAAAAAGCTAGACATGGTGGTACATAACCTATAATCCCAGTGATTCCAGAGACTGACAGGAGAATCACAAGTTTGAAGCCAGCACCAGCAACTTAGTGAGGCCTAAAGCAATTTAGTGAGACCCTGTCTCAAAAAATGAAAATAAAGGGGCTAGGGATGTGACTCAGTTGTTGAGTGCCCTTGGTTCAATCCTTGGTACCAAAAAACAACAAAACAATATAGTTAATGTCCTGGTAGCCCTCATGTGTGGGTCCAGTTATTCTTAAAGTCTTCCTGAATCCCTGATCTTCATAGCATTGGGCATTCAGCCATTCCTTGAATTCCATGTGTCAAGAAAATCACTATCTACCGACCTCTTTTGATATCTAGCCCCAAATAACTTGCCTATATGAAGGAATTCAGTTACAGTGAAGAGCAGAAACAGTTAAGCTGATGGTGGAGATTCATCTGTTTCAAGACCAAGAAAGGTTAGGTAATAGGTAGGATTCTCATGATTTAGAGCTGAGGATAAAGGATATGACCACCCAAAGGAGAAAGAGGGCCCTCAAACTAGGATGTCTTTGCTCCTAACATCCAAGAATATCTCCACAAGGAACTTCCCCCAATTCCCAATAACAAAGAAATGAGACTGGGAACTGGAGATGGGATAGTATTTTATCTGTCATCATTAAGTCTGCCACAGAATCAGAGGTGAATAAAGCTTTGCTGAATATAAGAGTAGAGGATTCCCAGGTGCAGCACAGTCACTATGGGTTAGGGTTTATAGTAGCAAGGTAAGAAAGGGCTTTATGCCTTGTATGTTCTGGCAGTTCTTACCCTAGGGCCTCATCCTCTTATAAACTAGTTTTTTTGTTTTGTGGTACTGGGGATTGAACTCAAGGGACTTATACCACTGAACTACATTATCAGCCATTTTTATTTTTTTATTTTGAGAAGTTCTCACTAAATTGCTTAGGGCCTCACCAAGTTGCTGAGGCTGGCCTCACACTTGGGATCCTGCCTCAGCCTCCCAAGCCACTGGAATTATAGGCATGCACCCCTGTGTCCAGGTCAGCCAAAATTTGTTTGTTTTTTTGTTTGTTTTGGGAACGAGGCTAATTTATTTTTCTTAAGTTCCTAGTGATTTTTTTTTTTGGACATTCTTAAGTGGAAAGGAAATTGCACATATCCAGATCAGAATAATTGGTCACAACTATCACAAGATAGCAGTTTCTTCATTAATTAGTTTAGAATGTATGAGATATTGTTATTTTGTGATGCTGGGGATTGAACCCACAGCCTTGTGCATGTGAGGCAAGCATTCTACCAACTGAGCTATATCCTCAGCCCCCATATATATTTATAGACATATTTAAGATCCTTTCCAACCCCCAAAGTTCTTTTTGCAGTACTGGGAATTAAATTCAGGGGTGCTCTACTACTGAACGACGTTCCCAGTGTATTTTGTTTTTTGGTACTGGATATTGAATCCAGCCAGGGCTTAACCACTGAACCACATCCCTAGTGCCCCCCTCCCCCTTTTTTTCTTCTGTTTTGTTTTGTTTGTTGAGACAGGATCTTGCTAAGTTGCTGAGGCTAGCTTTGAACTTGTGATCCTTCTGCCTCACCCTCCCAAGTCACTGGGATTTTTACGTGTGTATACCATGTCCCCAGTTCCAAAATTCTATGATTTCTAAGTTAACTAAAAGTTAGAGGGGAAATAGGACATTCACTCAACATATTTATTGCAATGACCTTGTGCTAAAAACAAAGGATACAAAATGAAGGCAAATGAGACTAAATTAAAACACTGTAAAGTAATAATAGCACACATTCCTTTTTTTGTGTATATGTGCTAATGGTCCTCTCACATGTTAGGCAAGTGCTCTACCACTGAGCTAGCTATACCCTCAGCCCCATTTTTTAAAAAGGCTTTATTGTATTTACTTCATCTCCAAGTTCTTCCTTTGTTTTTTTAAAATATTTTTTTAGTTGTCAATAGATCCTTATTTATATACAGTGCTGAGAATTGAACCTAGTGCCTCACACATGCTAGGCAAGTGCTTTTCCACTGAGCCACAACCCCAGCCCCTCAGCCCCATTTTTTTTCTTTATTTTCCTTTGTGATGTTGGGTACTGGTTTTTGATGATTTTTGCTTTGTTTTTTGAATACTGGAAATTGAACTCAGAAGTGCTTTACCACAGAGCTACATCCCCAGCCCTTTTCATTTTTTATTTTGAGATAGGGTCTCACTAAGTCGCTGAGGTTAGCTTGTTTTATTCTTTTTTAAAATATTTTTTAGTTGTAGATGGACATAATACCTTTATTTATCTTTATGTGGTGCTGAGGATCAAACCCAGGTCCTCACACATGCTAGGTGAGTGCTCTACCACTGAACCACAATCCCAGCCCCTTTTTTTTGGTTCTTGACTTGGTGTCTTGCTATGTTGCCTAGGCTGGGTTGAACTCCTGGCCTCAAGTGAGCCCCACCTCAGCCTCAAAAGTATCTGGAATCATTCCTGGTGGTGCATATCTGTAAGAACCTTCTTGGGAGACTGAGGCAGGATAGCAAATTTGAGGACAGCCTTGGCAATTTAGTGAGAACTGTTTCAAAATAAAAAATAAGTGCGGGGGGGGGGGCCTAGGGTTGTGGCTCAGTGGTAAAGGGCTTGCTAGCACGTGTGAGGCACTAAATTCAATCCTCCGCACCACATAAAAATAAAGGTATCCACCTACAAGTGTGTGTGTGTGTGTGTGTGTGTGTGTATATACACATACACATATACATACACATACATTTATTTACTTATTTAAAAAAGAAGTGCTGGGAATGTAGCTTAGTGGTAGAGCACTCTAGGTTTCAATCCCTATCCTCCCTTCCCCACGCACACAGTAAAAGAGTAGTTGGCACAGGCAGCAAAGGCATAAGAAAAATACTTTTGCAGGGGATTAACAGGGACCTGGGTTCAAAAACTCCAGCCCGAAATTCTTTCTTCTTATCCTACTGAAGACAGTTCTTGGGGTTCAGAGTCTGCATACCATGAACTACCCTGTGAAGGGTATATTAGCCATGGAACAGTCTCATGAGATTTGGCAGTTCTATAAGGATCTGGAATTTACTTCCAGCCAGCCAGGAGCATATCCCTTAGGGGTTGGAGAAGTCAAGAGCCTTGACACTGCTCTCTATCCTGCCACACAGAGACTCAAAGAGTACACTTTCACTCTCCTTTCTTGTGCCTATTTTGTTTTTGTCACTGTAGAACAGATAGTGACGTGGTTCGACTTTGTATTTTTTGGTGCTGGGAATCAAATCTAGGGTTCTTGCCCATATAAGGTAAGCACTCTACCACTGAACGACACCTTCAACTCCAAAGTTTCATTGTAAAACGCGGAAACTGAGGCCTAGAAAGGGTCAGCCAGTCCAAGGTGTCAGGCACCACGTGGCGTGGCATAAGAAGGTGGGGTTGGCTTCGGATTAAGCAACCCAGGCATTGCAGCCAGTTTGTGCCACCTCTGAGGCCTAATCTCTTTTCTGCGATTACCTCCCTACTGTCTATGGATCTTTTCTCTCCAGCCCAAGCTCCCTGAGGACGGGCTCGGGTTGTGGCGAGAAGACCGCAAAGAAGATGCTGCTAGAGCTTAGAGAGTGGGTCGGTGGAAGGGCATAAACCCTTAACGCCCAGCCGGTGCACACCCCAAGGCTCTGGGCAAATGTCAGTGTTTGATTTCGACTAGAAACAACTGACAGCCTCGACCTCGCCAGGCCCAGACGGACTTAAGTTCTGTAGCTGTGTACCAGAAGAGCAAGACCGAAACTGCCCATCTCCGGGCAGAGCAGGACCTTGTGCCAACCCCCAGCAACTAGGCCGGAAAGTCCGCGGGGAGCGGCCCGCGCCTGCGCGCCGCCATCTTGCTAAAGAAGCGCCCGCCTGGGCCTAGGGACTGCTCGGTAGCGGTGGGGCGGGGCGGGGCTGCGACACCCAGCTGGGCGGAGCCAGGCCATGGCGACCGCAGAGCCCGGCGGGCCGGCGATGAGGGCTGCCACCCCCGGAGCCCGGCCTGGCGGGGCCTCAGGGCACGCGGCAGGAGCTGTGGGACCGCCCTCCGGGAGGAGCGCCAGCGGAGCCCTCCGGCTGGGGGAGCGAACCCCTGCTACAGTGGAGAAGCGTGGACCGTACATGGTGACGCGCGCGCCGTCCATTCAGGCCAAGCTGCGTAAGTGTGGTCCGAGGTTTTATGCTGCTGTGTAACTGGGGCGGGTCCTGGGGCCCAGTGGTCTCGCACCCAGTGAAGGGTTCGATGCACTCCGCTTCCGTCCCCAAAAATCCGTTCGGAGAGCGGACTCCAAGCGTTCAGGGGACAAGGGCAGACTGGGGGAAACTCGGCTGACTAGGGCCCTTTGACTTCCAGAGAAGCACCGGGACCTGGCCAAGGCTGTTCTGCGGAGAAAAGGCATGCTGGGTTCCTTGCCGAACCGCCCCGACTCTTCAGGGAAAAGGTCTCAGCGGGCTCCACCTCCTCTCTGCCGACAATTTCCAAAGTCGTTATTCCTCAGCCTGGGAGACGGGGTGCTCACGTTTAGGGCTGACCCAGTGATTCCCTGACGGCAGCCTGTCAGGTTCACTATACCTAGGGGTACTTTTTCATTGAGCCACATCCCCAGCCTTTTTTTTTTTTTTTTTAGAGACAGGATCTCCCTGAGTTGCTTAGGGTC